AGCGAGAGAGACTCTGCTGGAACTGCCTTAAGTATGGCCATATGGCCAGAGAATGTCGGTCAGGCTCGAGATGCACGAAATGCCAGAGGAAACACCACCTGCTAATACATGATGTGTTGGATAGAGCAGGTTACAGCCGGGAGAAACCGACTGAGATAGTTACGGAGAAGAATGTTGGGTCGTGCTGTCTACACTCGCCAAGTGTGCGGCTGATGACCGGAGTGGCACGAGTTGAGGGAAGAACTCGAAACGCGAAGGTTCGCGTGTTCCTGGACTCGGGTGCTGAGGCGTCATTCGTGACTGCAGCGTTGGTGTCAGCAATCGATGCAGAACACGTTGGGGTTGAAAATGTAGAGGTGAAGCCGTTCGGCGCGGAACCAACCCAACAGCGCATGGATAAGTACGCCATCACGATCCAGGGTAGCTCCGCTAGCATTCGGGTACGCGCGTTCGTGAAACCAACGCTTGAGCTGGACCTGAAGTGCGCAAGTCCGCAGACCATTGCGCAGTGGCACAGTTGGGGAGTAGAGCTGAGTGACAAGCCTCAACAAGGGACATCAGACGAAATACATATGCTGATTGGTGCAGACTATATCAACGCGGTACTGCACAGCAAGAAGGAAGTTAATGGTGAGACGGTGTGGAACACAGAGATAGGTAATGTATTATCTGGTCCAGCGTCTGCACCAAGTCGAAACAGTCAGCCGGTGACCGTGTCATGTGTCACAGCCCACATCGACAAACTATGGCAGTTGGATGAACCTCCAGAACAACATCAGCACCTGCCATCGTTCCCGCTATGTCGCCAGGGCAGCGGGTACCAAGTGGGTCTCTTGTGGCGAAATGAGCGTCGGCCAACGGATAACTTTGCTCAAGCTAGAGTCATCGCAACGCGGCTTCTTGAAAAGCTGAAGAGGAATGGGAAGCCTGTGCTCTATGATGATGTGCTGATCAGGGAGTACCGCGAGCTTGGAGCAATTGAGCTGGAGCCATGTGAGAGCGATGCCGGGTACTATGTACCGCATCATGGTGTGTTCCGCGAGCACGCTGCAACCACGAAGTTAAGAGTGGTGTTCAATGCCTCGGCGACGGCGCCAGATGGCAAGTCGTTGAACGACATGGTTGACCCTGGACCGTCGCTATTGCCGAGTCTCGCAGGTATGCTATTACGGTTCCGTGAATATAAGAGCGCGCTGCAAGCGGACATCCGCAAGGCTTTCTTCATGGTCGCGGTTAATCCCGAAGACCGTCCGTACCTGCGTTTCTTGTGGCCCGGTCGAAGCGACAGCGATGAACTGTTAACCTGGAGGCTAACGAAACTGCCATTTGGCGTAAACTGCTCGCCATACATGCTTACTGCGGTGATTCAGCATCACTTGAAGGAGCTACGGGCGTTGTCTGCACCCAAAGAGCGAGATCGTATTGATCTCTTGCTCACGAGTTTCTACGTTGACGATTTGGTCTCTAGTGTCTCAAATGCCTCGGAAGCTAAGGAGATGCAAGAGTTCAGCGTGCGTGTGCTTACGGATGCTGGCATGGAGTTACGCAAGTGGCGAGGCAACGAAATCCCGTGCGATCCAGAGGCCGGAGATAAAGTTCTCGGTCTGAAATGGAAAACTAGTGATGACTTGCTCAGCATAGCAGCGCTAGGCGAGTCCGATAGGCCGTCTGTTTGGACCCGGCGATCCCTCCTCAAGTGTGTTGCGTCAGTGTTTGATCCGCTAGGTCTAGCAGCACCGGCAGTTGTGCCCGGAAAGATACTGCTACAGCAAGCCTGGAAAGTCGGAGGCGACTGGGATGATAAGTTGCCTGATGGCATCGCAGCCGCATGCGCGCAATGGTGGGGAGAGTTGGCCGAAGTGGTGAGCATTGACACACCACGTTGGATTTGCTGGAATCTTGACACGCCGATTGCGCTTCATGCCTTCGCCGATGCCAGTGAGAAAGCGTTTGGATGTTGTTTGTATGCAGTCGTCAATGGACAGTCGCACTTGGTATTTGCCAAGGCCAAAGTGGTACCCGTGTCTCCACCCACGTTAGCCCGCCTTGAGTTACAAGCAGTATGTCTAGCGGCTCGCTACGCTGAGTTTGTGGTGAAGGAGCTGCGTGTGACCGTCACGCAAGTCTATGGCTGGACTGACAGTCTCACTACCGTTCATTGGATCAGTAATCCATCGTACAAATGGAAACATTTGTGGCTAACCGCGTCAGTCAAGTCCAAGAGATATCGAAGAAGGTCGGCATTGTGTGGAACCATTGCCCAGGCCTTCACAACCCAGCAGATTTACCGTCGCGTGGGAGTAGTGCACAGCAGATCCGTAGTCTGTTCTGGAGGGGCGGACCAACCTGGATCACGGAGCCCAATGACTGGCCCACCGCATCCTCAACCGCAGCTACAGATGAGTCCAGTGTAGAAGTACGAGTGTCAGCCACCACCTGTAGTCGAGAATCTGATAAGGAATGGTGGCTCCGATTCAGTAAATGGTCGAGGGCACAGGGCATGGTGACTCGGATGTTGCAGTGGAAGCACACTGAGCCTCGTGCTGAACTCTATTTTGCAGCAGACAACGTATTGTACCGCATCATTCAAGCCGCATGTTTCGCTGAGGATCTTGAGCTGATCAAGCAAGGTCAACCAGTGAAGCCTGGATCGAAGGTGTATCAGCTTGCACCGTTTCTGGATGAGCATGGAGTGCTCAGAGCCGGGGGACGACTTCAGCACAGCGAGTTGGCGTATGGAGCCAAGCACCCAGTCCTGTTAGGCAAACATCATCTGACCGAGTTGCTGTTGGAGAAAATGCATGTTGAAAGGATGCACCAAGGTGTAGAAGTAGTCTTGTCGTTCATCCGTCAGAAATTCTGGATTATCGGTGGTCGACGGGCGCTACGCAACATTACTCAGCGATGTGTTACATGCCGCCGCTACAAGGCTAAGGTTGCCTCAGAAGTCTGCCCGCCGCTGCCGGAAGACCGAGTTGTTCACGAGAGGCCGTTCGCAACTACCGGCATCGACTATGCTGGTCCGTTGTACGTGCGCCGTGGTGAGTCATCTCCGAAGGTATGGATAGCATTGTTTGTGTGTGCCACCACCAGAGCAGTTCACTTGGAGGTGGTCGATAGTTTAAGTACCGAGTCATTCTTGATGGCATTTCGGAAGTTTGTCGCGAGACGTAGTTTGCCGTCTCGGATCAGGTCTGACAACGCTACAACGTTCAAGGCGGCATCTGACAAACTGGGTGTGCCCTGGATGTTCAATCCTCCAGCTGCACCATGGCATGGAGGCTTCTATGAGCGAATGGTTGGTACAGTGAAGAGTGCCTTGAAAAAGGTAATGGGAACAGCGTTTCTGAAGGTCCAGGAGCTTGAGACCCTCTTGTATGAGGTTGAAGCAGTGGTGAATAGTCGTCCGCTAACTTATGTGTCTGATAGCCTGGATGAGCCACCAGTAACCCCTGCAATGATGATGGGTGACATCTGGATGTCGTCAGAGAAGCCAGCAGGTACCCTGGACGCTGCGCAGATGTCATCGAGATTGCGTTACCTCAGTCGGACACTGGAGCATGTCAAGAATCGTTGGGAGGTGGAGTACCTAAGTCAGCTGAACAAACACTAACAGACCATGTCGCGCCCTTTAGCTGTGGGTGATGTTGTCTTTGTTCTCGATGATACCAAGCGCAAACAGTTCTGGCGTTTGGGACGGATCATCGAGTTATTCCCTGGTCGAGATGGTAAGCGTCGTGTTGCCAAGGTTAAGTTGAGTACCAGTACCCTGTTGAGGCCGATCTAAAGGTTAGTGCCGTTAGAAGTATCGTCACAGGACGTGGCTCCTGGGCTTGCAGATACCGCTCAACCTGCTATCGTCCCTCAGCAGCCAGCGTATGAACCGTCAGCACCGTTACCACCACCACGGCAGCAGGAGATAACGCGTTCTGGGCGCGTAGTCAGAGCCCCGGATAGTTTTTGACTTGTGTGCATTGTTGTACGGCGGTGAGAAGCCCTTTGGTGGGGAGAATGTTGTAAACCACCAGTTCTCAATTGGGAAAGGCCTTCGCGCTTATGGCCTTGTATTCGTTGAAATGTTGTATTTCGACTCCGCCGTACCGCTGATGTTGCTGCATGGCATACGCTATATGCGTTGTGTGCGTTTTGCTGTATACGCTGTTATGTCCAGTTTTATATGCTTATGTTTTGCATGTACGCTGTTTTTGCATGCTATAAATAGCTGGTGTTATTAGTGTTCATTGTTAATTATCAGATGAAGTGAAATATACTGTGTAAAGGAAAAGAGTTGTCCTCGTGCCGTGTGGTCGTACGATCCTGACAATTTAGAGAATCTTGCAGGGTTCACAACAATAATATTGCTTGATCATGATGAGAAACTTTCACGGTTTCATCTATTCCGTGGGATTTTGTGATGTCTACGATCAATGTATGGAGCAGTTTGCGGCGGTTTATATTCGCGGATGTGTGCTGGTCACGAAAAGCAAAATTTAATCTCTAGCAAAAGTTTCCCACATTACAGTAACATTTCAGAACCATTGCACACTGCCTGCACCATTGACACATGTGCACTGGTGTGTGACATCATTCTGCCTTGGATAGAACTCTCCCGTGCTCACATTTCCACTGTATACAAAGCATCCCATTCAGTGATGTCATGTCATGTGTTAAGGATGCAGACTGGCAGCTCACTACATAAGCTATTCGGATCACAAGTTTCTTTTCCCTTCATCAATTTATAAACATTTCTTAATGTGCGCAAGCTCCACTGCAGCCACTTCATTCCTTATGGTGCCCTGGCCAAAAATTGGATTGAGATATTTTAAATGTCAGCGAAGACACCAATTGAATTGAGGATGATGTGTGGAGGGTGTTTTCATCAATTTAGACAAAATTAATGCAGGTTTATGAAACGTCGCTGTAGAGAGAATTACTCAAGAATGCTCCACAGAGAATGCACATTCCCATCAAACTAGTAACTTTAGTGCAGTATTTTTTACCTCGCTCTTCCTCTCCTAAGGCCCCAGGACCTGCCAGCAACAGCAGCGTGACAACGACGACTGGTGTAAACATCCACGTGTCCTGCAACAAAACACATGATAGAAGTGTAGAGACTAGATTGTGTGCGATTGGCCTCGTCACAGTCATACATGATTATAACGAGGATGAAACTCGTAATGTCAATGCGAGTGTCAGTATCAATTCGTCTACATCAGAATGAGTGTGTATGTGTGTGGGTGTGTGTGTGTTTCGGTGGTGTATGTGCATGCAGCATGCATGTATGTATGTGCGTGTACGTGTTTGTGTGTGTGTGAGAGAGAGAGAGAGAAAGAGAGAGAGAGAGAGTCTGAGTGTGGTGGGATATGTGTACTTGAGTGTGTATTTTGCGCCTGAGTCAGTGAGGGGATGATTTGACTCTGTACCGGTTATCATCGGTTGCCTGTCCCGGTGAAAATATACTGAAAAGTAAGTCTGTTGGTGATAACTTGACGTCCCTACTATTGTCTCCATCTATCGGCTTGACCCTTCCCTGTATCTCTCTCTCACTCTGTCGCTTTGGAAGGTACAAGTAGTTCGCAACCTTAATGAGTACCCCCTTGATCCAATCAAGAGACTACATGGAACACCTATAAAAAAGGTCACTGGACCATTGTATTTATAAGAACAGAAATGATCATGAAGTCAGGTATATCGCGATCACTTCCACCCTTTGGTACCATTTTCTAGCCACTTTATTTATTTTTATTTCTATTTCATCTCTGTCTCTCTCTCTGTGTCTGTTTGTCCCTCTCTTTCTCTCTCTCTCTTTCTCTCTGTCTCTCTCTCTCTCTTTCTCTCTCTTTCTCTCTCTCTTTCTCTCTCTCTCTCTCTATATATATATATATATCTGTATACACACAACAACAAGGTTGTCAGTTTCATAACACTAAAAGCTTTTCACCCATTTTCATCAGTAGATACATGGGAATGAGCAAGAACGAAAACGAAGCCAGAATTTATACTGGGGGTAGAGAATCAGCAAGAATATTCTTACGCGCCTCAAGTTCACACTACACTACCATAAGAATGTATGGAGTAGTGGAAAAATGCGGGAAACAACACATGAGCAACATGTGAGCGAACGTACGTTGGTGAGACATGTCAGCGATTCTCGGAAAGGATCAAGCAGCATATCCCAGACAAGCTGTACAAGAAGCCGCCTGACAAACGTGTGGCAACAAGTGATAGCGCCATCACAAAGCATTTGCAGGCGCAACCTGAATGCATCCCGCAAGAACGCAACAGCAGCTTCAGTGTCATCACACCAGCCCGGAACAGCGCGCACAGATTCACACTGGAGGCGCTGTACATTCGCAGTTTGAGGCCAGAGCTGTGTCGACAAAAGAAGCACATCAAGGTGCTGCGGCTGTTCAAGCTGCAACCGGACTGACAACTTTATCACGTGCTTGTTCTGGTACTGCATTCCCCTCATGTGTTGTTTCCCGCATTTTTCCACTGCTCCATACATTCTTATGGTAGTGTAGTGTGAACTTGAGGCGCGTAAGAATATTCTTGCTGATTCTCTACCCCCAGTATAAATTCTGGCTTCGTTTTCGTTCTTGCTCATTCCCACGTATCTACTGATGAAAATGGGTGAAAAGCTTTTAGTGTTATGAAACTGACAACCTTGTTGTTGTGTGTATACAAATTTTGTTCGCCTACGTCTCTATTTAAATATATATATCTATATATCTCTCTCTATCTATCTATCTATCTCTCTATCTCGCTCGCTCTCTCCCTCTATCTCTCTATTTACATATCTCTGTCTTATTCTCTCTGCCTCTCTCCTTCTCTGTCTCTCTCTCTGTCATTCTCTCTCTTTCGCCCGCTCTTTACCTATATCTCCATCTATCTATCTATCTTTCGCTCCTGCTCGTGTAGCAGTTGAGCACTCTTGCGTGGGGTAGTGCCTTTGCTGTTTGCGTTATGCAGAGCTCACTGACTTCTCAGTTTGAGCACTCTGGCAAGGTACGTTCTGGCCTGATTGGAAATTTTTATTTCCATTGCTATCAGGTTCGGCCTCATTTCCTCTGTGCTGCGCTGACGAGTCCACAAAGGACGAAACAGTTCTGTCCGCAGATTGAGTATCCATCTATCTATCTATCTATCTATCTATCTATCTATCTCCGTCTTCCTCTCTTTGTCGTTTTTCTCTCTCTCTCTCCCTCTCTCTCTCTCTCTCTCTCTCTCTCTCTCTCACTCTCTCTGTCTGTCTGTCTGTCTGTCTCTCTCTCTCTCTCTTTTTCTCTTTCTGTCTCTGTTGTTGTAGATTTTATTTTCAACAACAAATCTCTGTCTGTCACGCCCGCTTTCTCTGTCTCCCCTTTCTCCGTCTCTCTCTCTCAGTCTATCGCTCTATCTACAAAGGCTCAACCTTACTCGTATCTATTCATCTATCCATCTTTCTAACTATCTCGCTGTCTATTTGTGTCAATCTCTCATTCTAGGTTGAGTTCTATTGAGTCGTATTGCAAGTCTTCATTTGCAAAGAGTGGAGCAATGACAGCACAAACTAGTACCTAGTCTAGTGATTCTCACTCACCATGTTGGCGACTGGCTTAGTTGATACGTACAGCAGTCTTACAGATACCCTACACGTACTGGGACTACTAGTATCCAAATAGGACTCGAGCTACCTTTCTAGTGACTTTCCGCGATTTCCTAAGAAGTCGTCAAGACAAACTTTGTACGACTATATTCTGTTTCCTAGGCTAAGACAATCTACTGGTCAGTACATCAGTAAGTTGGTGCTGTTGCACACTACATCACACAGGACTAACTGTACGTCCGAACTTTCCAATTCCCTCCCTTTATATACCAGGAATGCCTGTTCGTGAATGTTCCTGGCTTCCAGGGGTTTGTGCATGGGTGATTGTCGCAGTAGCTGGAAGCTAGCCTGACGAAGCGGCGGCATGTGCATGACATGTACAGTATATCCATCACTCCATCCCATAATTTAAAAGGTTGATTGGGTACTGGACCTGACGTTGTACCACGCACTCCTAGGACACATGCACAAGTCATAGTGACTCTGCACTCCTTCACGTTCAATTGCTACTATGGAGAAGTAGCACCAGCAGCTGCTTGTTTGCTGGTATAAAAGAGACTAGCCTTACAAAGGAGCCGAGCTGAACAAGAGCCGATGATGCCGTCCGCAAACGACTTACTCCAATCTCTTTCACTTCACTCCACAGGGGGAGGAATGTTCGTAAACATACGGAGGGCATCGGTAAGTGATGACTGGCCTAAATAATAAAAATAAGATCACCATGTGAAGGTCATCCACCGTCCGTAGAAAGCTCAATTAGCCGAAAGCAAAGAGCGTAATACGCAGACAGAAGAACGAGCAGTCGTGTTTTCGTAACTCTTAGTTTGACGAACTGATGATCGATTCAGTTCGTGAAACCCAGAGTAAAGAAAAACATACTGCTCGTTCTTCTCTCTGTTTAACAACAATATTAGATTGCCGTAACTGGATGCCCTTTATTATAGTGCAGCAGAAACTGTCCAAATATTACAGAAATCAGCTTGATGCAGAGATACATGAAAGGATGAGTATTGTGGCCGTGTGTGTGTGTGTGTGTGTGTGTGTGTGTGTGTGTGTGTGTGTGTGTGCGTGTGTGCTTCTGTTGTGCTGCATAATTATAGACTTTACCCCAGTCCACGTTCACTCCACTGCACTTTGATCCATGACAATGTGGCTGGTCAATACAGGATACCGCTTGGTAAACTGTCCCCGGAACGCAGGTTTTACTGTGCTGTGGAACATTCTTAGTGCGTACATGTATTTATTCATTATACGAAGTCATTTTTTACATGACCTCTGCATTTTAGCAGCCATGACTGTGCAGGCTTCGCTCATTGCAATAATAATTTAAAAATATTGAGGTATAGTTGGTGTTCGTTCATGATGGAAGGAGAGGTGGCGCTACGGAAGGTGGAGCTACGGAAGAGATGAGCTGATTATTCGTAGAGGGAGGGTGGCATATCGGTTGGACGAGTATGACGATTACGAAGACAGTTGAACATGATAATTTCCAAAGGTAAGTCAAACTGATTGGCAATGAAAACATATTTTTAATAAGGCCACCTAGAATTAATTCGTTGATTCGGGTCACTTCAGTCATCCGCACCAGGGTCGGTCGGTCGGGTTTATTTATTTTTTTATAATTTTTTTATTTTGGTGACATGGATGCAGTGAATGGGATTTTCGGTTTTTGACCACTTGCTGGTGAGCTGATCTACTCACCTCCCACCGCTTTAGCCTTTAGGAGCTGCATCTGCGCCTTGATCCTTGAAGGGTGGTGGCGTTCCTACGGATGCGGAAAGCCGGGCTTCCAGCCGAGTCTCACGCGAACCGTGAAATTTTTTTGGTTACTGCCATGCGCGCCATATGGCCATGTGCATACATCATAATTATCGAATAGCTTCTGTCCATCAAGCCAGTCGATCAAATCTAGATGATCCAGCGCCTTCAGATCTAGGTCCCAAGCTAGCTCCAGGACCAGATCTTGACCTTGCTAGCAAACGAGTCTGCCGCTCTCACCAAACCTTCTGTCAATGAGCGACATGGTGGCGGAGCTGATATTGTTTCATCACGACCGATCGCGGACCGGAGAAAACAACGTCGTCACTGAGCGATGCAGCCTGTCATTTGGCTGCTTCTGACTCTGAGATCGACGTCTGGACCCAGTCACTGCTAGTATTTTAGGGTCGCGTGTGTACATATGTACATAGCCTAGTTATGTACGTACATTTGCATGCACAATAAAAAACAATTTTTTATTCGGGTGAAAAAAGACGGTCGGTCGGGTGACCCGAAAGAACGAATTAATTCTGGGTGGCCTAAAGTACAAAAGAAGTCAAAAGTCAACTAATGAATTTATAGAAGTAATGTTTCCCTTTTCCATGATAATCACTAGCATGCATGGACAACTTGGTATAGGGATACTCGTGTACTTATGGCCACTTGCAAGTACGAAAAAGGCACAATTTTCCGAACTTTGGGGCTCCATCAGTGCAACAAAGTGAATATGTATCCCCGCGTGCCAAAGTATAATAATGAGGATTTTGCAAGCATAGTGCGAGAATCCATGAAAGCATAATTCCATGATTTCGCGAGCAAAATCCGCCGGAGCTTAGTTACCAGTCTGAGTGAGGTCTGCAAGACAGAGCAGGTCACGTGAGGTGGGGGAAGTGTAACTAGGTCACATCAGTACCCTTCTTTATGTTTTACAAAGACCACTTCAATGCCAAACATGAGAAAAAGAAAGTGAAGCCACAAGTGAAGCCAAACACTGCAGGAGTCGGGGCAGTGGTGGTGAAGCAGTTTAGGGAGCTCCGCCGACCTAGCGTCACACGACGTCATGGCTACCCAAATGCACCATGAGGGAGGGGGGGGGGGGGAGTAAGGGAAATAAGCACCGTGGCATATGCAGCATAGCTTGCGAAAAAGACACAATCATGAAACACGGATCTACTTATTTCTTTTTTTTTAAATGCAATGGGGATTCTGCGATTGGAATTGCAGTATTTCAAGTCGTGTGATGCGATTGCGTACTAATTCTTGACCTCGCCAGTAGGATAGAGTCCGGACCTTTTCCGGTAGATCGATGGTTCCCCTCCTCTCCCTCCCCCCCCCCCCTTTCGGGGCCATCCGATGCACTGTCACCAATGCTTTTCATGCCACATAAGTTCAGTGCTGGCCAGAGAAATCCAACCTCATGAACAAAATAGTGCGGGCGCTACGGAGCCCAATCTCTACACACACTGTTCTATGCACTCGGATGCGATGCTACATCATTAATCGGGTTGGATTTCCCTTGCAAGAACTGTAGACACTGCTTTACAATGTAGGAATTGCACAGGTCGATTTCCCGGATCTCCATCACCAGGAGACAGCATGTCATCGGCCAATCCAAGGTCAACTGGCGAGCTGCGGATTCCCCAAAAACACCGTGTGTATTGTATTGCTTTCTGGCAAGTCTTTCGAGTGACAATACGTGGAAGCAACTTCTCTACGTTATGAAATCAACTGTCTGGAATTACAGAAGAGTGAATGAGTGAGCACGGCACTATACAATGTAGGAACTGTGTGAAACAGCATGTACAGCAGTCAGCACAACAACGTGCACATCAATACGCATTGCAAGTAATGCAACGACGTGTACAGAGATTAACACAACAACGTGTCCAGAGATAAGCACAGCAACGTGCACAGAGCTACGCACAGCAACGTGTACAGAGCTAAGCACAGCAACGTGTACAGAGATAAGCACAGCAACGTGCACAGCAATATGCACAGCAACGTGTACAGAGATTTGCACAGCAATAGGTTCATTCAGAATTCATTTTCATGTACTTCATCGCGATGTTCGCCGACAACTAGCACTTAGCCAAATAGGGGTGATTTGAAGCGAAGATATCAGTAAATACCCTTTCATGACGTCACGTTCATAACTTCTCGCAGACGTACTCTGATTCAAGGGAGGTACAGATACTCTTGTCTGTGCACAATGAAACACACACGAGCATGTGAATCGAACAATGGTATCATTAATAATGTAGCTGGTTGAGAGGCAGGCAAAGAACTTCTGGTACAGGCAAAAGTGTACTATGCTAGAGAATAGTCTTGCTGTTGCTGCTGTACCCGAAGAAGAGGTTGTTGTTGTTTGAATTCTGTATTCTCACGATGGCACCATAGCCAATAAGAGATGAATTGTACCAGCCACCTTTGTTGGTTCCAAGGTTCAACTACTTTCTATTTGAAGTATACATACCTGTTAAACATGGACTGCTTCTGGCTAGATTAACTCGTGTGTAATCAATGGTGCTAGTGAAGCCTATATCAGATCCACTCTGATTTAGCCACCCACACTAGCAGCAAGTATTACCTTCACTGGGGGCAGGGGGAACTGCAGTTGGATCCCGGGACGGATACCCTGATGCCGTCAATCCTTTTTCTGCAACTTGTCCTCACCCACTTACTGAGGCGTGGCGAGCCCATAAGTGGGATCATTTTCAATTTCACCCAGAGTTTTGGAGATTTCAGGGGGTGTCGGCCGTTGGGCGGTTCACTAGCCAATTGAGTCATCTTTCCAAGATTCCTTTGAGTCTCTCTGCCCTCTTCCGGGGAGACCCTCGTGACCAGTTTTTTAGAGTGAGCAACAAGTACAAGTGTGTGTGTGCGTGCGTGTGTGTGTGTATGTATGTGTGTGCATGCGTGGCAGCAGCACTCTGTTCAACCACAAAGTGAGGGCAGTAATACTCTGTTCAACACCCTACCTAACCTCACCTAGAAGGCGACAATACACTGTTCAACGCCCTCCACAACCATACCCAGATGGAGGCAATACACTGTTCAACACCCTACACAACCATGCTGTAAAGCGTGAAATTTTCGCGGCGTTTTTAGTTCGCATTTTCAGAATCCGGACAGGTTTGCGAGGTTTTAATTTTGCGACTGCAGAATGCGCTACTTTGGCATTCTTGCTGAACCTTTCATGGATCTCCTTTTCGCGCTGTCTAAATTTCGCGATTTCCACGCGGTCGCGAATTTCGCAGAAATTAGACCATCGCAATAATTTCACGGTTTACAATACCCAGATGGCGGCAATAAACTGTTCAACAACCTACACAACAATACCCGGTTGCCATGTGTTGGGAGTAAAAACTTCGTCATTGCCCAATTAGCATACTGTAGCATTTTTGCCAACTCATCATCGTATTGCAATTTGGACTTCACGGAGAATTTCAAAGTGTTTTAGGAAATTAGAGGCCACATGCCACGTACTGCTCTTTTCTCTCCGAAACTCAACACTCGCAAGCCAGATATGAAAGAAAGATAAAATCATCAGTCACACCACCGGGACTCGAACCAGGGACCTTGCTATTCGCGAGCAATGCTCTAACCAACTGAGCTACAGTATGACTCTTATCCACAGTGATGGTAAACCTATCCTTCTTCGATCAATTGCTCGCAGTGGACAAAGTTTGATGCATTCCCCATGATATCAAGCGAATGGCCGAGGGCCCTCTTGAGTGGTGTGAGTTGCCAGTATGATACAAGCCAGATATGGATTGATCGAAGAAGGATAGATTTACAATAACTGTGGATAAGAGTCATACTGTAGCTCAGTTGGTTAGAGCATTGCTCGCGAATAGCAAGGTCCCTGGTTCGAGTCCCGGTGGAGTGACTGATGATTTTATCTTTCTTTCATATCTGGCTTGCAAGTGTTGAGTTTCGGAGAGAAAAGAGCAGTACGTGGCATGTGGCCTCTAATTTCCTTAATCATCATCGAATCAAGGTAGAACGCTACACGCAAACAACAGGAACGCGGAAGAGATGGCAGAAAATAAGAAAACTAACCATCATCACCAACACTTTGCGCACACTGTAGCTGGTCCTTGCGGCTAGTCTCCTCCGGATCAAGCACACACATGTGTACCTGGCTGTTGGCTTGACTGGACAAGCTGCCCTGGAGGTCACCACCGCTGCTCAGAACGTCTTCAACGTCCACCTCCTTTCGGTTCATCACGGCCATTCTAGTAATGATGTACAGTGGTAACAGAATGAAAACGATAATATTAGAGAGGTTCCGCATAACGTAATTACGTTAGTAAAAAACGTAGTCGATCTACGGAAAGTCTTACGTAAACTGCATGAGCATCTGTGTTCCGCCATACGGAGTTTTGAAATCACGTAGCTGCCCTTGACAACTCCGAACGCGGCAGTGTACGACCAGATCGACCTGGGGAGAGAGTCATAAATTTGTACCCCAATCCACTTACGGACCAGCTACGTTATCAGAGCTCTATCTACGTACTCTACGTAGACAACTTTCCGTAAGTGGAGTGCAAACTCGCGAATTCACGGGTTTTCCCCGCCCACTAACGTAAAGTTGCTCAACTTTACGTAGTGCGGAACCTCTCTACTGACCACACTTGACGTTTGAGGAGTTGGGACATTTTCTTTTCTAAATATCATCAGCTGGATTTCAAAACGTGCAAATCCATTTTGGTCAATTTCCAGTTAACGCCAACGAGTTTTGCAGTGCTGCACTACAGATGTTTGGGAGATGTAAACATTCTAACCTAATAATATGACTGCCTTTGGTCGTGCATGAGCAGCCAAGTTTGGTATGTATACACTAAAAATAATAATAACTTTCCATTTTGCAAAGCAGCATGAACGATATCGTTGAAACAATCTAGTCCGTTTGGGGTGAGATTTCCAAATTTGTCATCTTCAGGAACCCGCAAATTTTCAGTGTCGGCTTCTCTAACTACGGAGCCTACATTTTATATACAGGAGGCGTATGTACACTTTACAATACTGATGACACTACAGTTGATGGAGAACGCCTTGGAAAACTGATTTAAAAAACAGGCTAGAGCTTACTTCGTCTCATCATTGCAACTAGACTCTACACCTGTGAAGAAAACAGAGATACACACATACACACATGTATACATAACATGTACACACACAAATACACGCACACACACACACATATGCACACACACACGCACACACGCATACAACCGTTCACAAAATTTCGCACACAAACACACATACACACACACACACACACACACACACACACATACAACCGTTCACAAAATACACGCACATACACACACACACACACACCATTGAACCATTGGACGCCCATCGCCGGAGGCGATGATAGCGATGCTACAGCAGAAGCCATAGCAGCTTGTGCTGGGATTGCACCATTCAACAGCTTGCAAGGCTGAAGAATTGACCGCCACTGTTCAGCCTGGTCTACACCTCACAGCTATGAAGTGGCTTTTTCTGCCCAGTGAATCCCTACTTTTTGGTATTTTTCACACACACACACACACACACACACACACACACACACACACACACACACACACACACACACACACACAAACAACCGTTCACATAAATACACACAGATGACAGTGATCTCCTGTAATAATTGCAAAAGAGTAAGCCAGTTACTAGTTCTTTTTATCAATTATATAATTGCATTATTTTACAATTGTACATGCCATACAGCCAGTAAGACTAACTAGGTGCATCAGTACCATTCTAAAACTGTTGGAACTCAGTGGAAAAGATGCCAGTTTGGAGGTTCTGTAGTGAATACACAAACTAGCTTGCCACCATATCCAGCCAAACAAAAACCTCCTTCGGTAATAGATGTTCCACTGTAGCAGATAACTCACAACCCTTCCACCAAATAATCCTAAGATGTTCAACTTGAAAACGCTTAGTCAGCAGACAACGTTCGGTTTGACCTGCAGACGTGTGCTTGATGACACCAGGCCCCGAAATGCTTATCAGTCCACCATGTATTTTTCATTCGATTGCCGACGTTCTCACATGCACCTCCTATCAGGGCTCCTGTAAGGCCAACAGCGTGCCTGAGTCACGGTGAATATTTCTTACCTAACGACTGCAAGATATGATGCGGCTTTCAATCAGACATGGACGTAAATAATCCCAAGCAAGTCAAGGACTCTGTTTCTAAGGATGTAACACTGTCGAATAGACGATTGCTGCAGGGTTTGGTATTCAATTTCATATCAAAATACAAGTTCTATCAAGGAGGTAAACAGCAGCATTCAGCCCTGTATAGATTTATCATACACTAACACACCATGACTATGCTTTCCAGCCGAACTCGGTACGTCGCCAGAGCACACCATCGGGAAAGCGACACAGCTGTTGGTGCTGAATTCCTTCATATAGCTGTTTCGAGTATGGAACTCTCGTCAGTGAAGGTAGATATTGTAGCCTATAGCTAAGATAATGGTACAGGTTGCATGTTCAGCATAAACTTACCGCTGGGTGATAGTACAAGCACACAATCAAAATCCCTTGATTTGGTCGAAAGTTTTTGATTTTTGAGACTTTCCCGTCGTCGCTTGGCAGTCACAAGGGAACGGATGCGGAGGACCAGCGCTATCATCAAGAACATGCTGAATAGGGCAATACCACGGAGTGCTAGTTGGGTAGTGGTGAATCCCGCCGTCAGCTTGTCAGGCGTCTCTGTTGTTTGGTTTCCTGCAAGCAACACTACATGTGGTGGATACAAATCATACGATCTAGAATGACATAATGCAATCTGGAATGACATAATGCAATCTGGAATGCCATAATGTAATCTAGAATGACATAATGCAATCTGGAATGACATAATGCAATCTGGAATGACATAATGCAATCTGGAATGACATAATGCAATCTGGAATGACAAAATGCAATCTGGAATGACATAATACAATCTGGAATGACATAATGCAATGTGGAATTCCATGATACAATCTGTAATGACATAATGCAATCTGGAATGACATCATAAATTCTGTCATTAACTCATCGAGTAACATCTTCGTGGGTACTCACCCATACAAACAGAACCGTTTCAGGAAGTGGAGTACCGCCGTCCCCCGTAGACTGGTGAAGGCGCTGCATCCAATTTCGTAACGCAGTTCAGAAAGGGGTGCAGGTTCGGGTGTGTAAGTGTGAGTGTAGGAGGGGGTTGGTGATTATAGCGTCTCAGCTTTCTCGGGCCAAGACTATTCGACTCAGTACCCCGAAGACTACATCTGGTGAAATTTTGATTTTTGCCTTAACTTCCCCTTTAAAGGAAAACGTAGAATATTTTATCCATTCCTATGCTCTCAAAACACCCATGGTTCACGGGTATTGCGTGTAAGCTTAGAACAAACCACATACGACGCTCGCAATTGCTGAAAGTTTTCGTTTGCCACACCTATAGTCTGTTTCAAAAAGATTTACAATCAGGTTTGGGTCTAGAAAAGTATGAAGATAAGGGAAATTTGGACAACAACGTACATAGAATGGCTTGTTGGGACACGGCAAATTGTTCTGTGAAGGTTTCGGAACAATTGGACCAGCCGTAAAGGAGTTAGAATTTCGGTCAGGTTTCCGGCCTTTTCCCATGGTTTACAATTTGCCCAGGAAGCCAGTATCGATTTTTTTAATCAAAACCCACGATATCACATTCACTAAAGGGGTTTACAAGGAGGAAAACTTCCTTCTGCCAGCGGAGAGAGCTCAACACAATAATGTGGAGCACTATTGCACACAAAAGGCGCAACAGAGGTTTACAGACTCAGAGTTTCTTGCTCAATGCAATCATCATGCTACTTATTACATGTTCAGTGAGACTTGGCCGATACGAGAGAGCTTGGAAGCTCAGGGCCCTACGCTATGCTTTTTTGCCTTGATGACCTAGACAAAAAAAGGATAGGGATGTTATAAATTCTGATAAATTTATCCTTTTTTTAAGACATAACCGGGGATTCGAACCCGCACTATCGCCCCACATGCATTCACCCATACACTTCGCATTCATATCCATTCTTCCAAGTTGCTTCACATTATGATCTTGCGTTTGAAATCCCTATTTGAATATTGCGGCCAGCTGTATGTGGCCAGCTGTGTTTGATGGTACAGTACGGTACGGGACAGATACGGGATAGTGCCAGGCGGGACACAAACACACAAACAAACAAACAAACATACAAATACCAAACTAAAGCTGTGTGGACCCTGGCTAGCGTAAGACGTTACTGAAGTAACGTCTTCTGCATAGCTACGAGAATAAAGCATATTTTGGTGATAGCTGGTTGGTATCTGATTCAGCAGAGAAAATATTCACTAAAGGAGTTTATGTACCAACCGCACTCATTGTAACGAGGGAGAATTTGTTCATGTAGATGGCTCGAACTACAGCGCAAACTCCAGTCGTGGCCAAGAGTACCCGACCCTCGAGTCGAAAGCAGCACCAAGGCTCATATGCCCCCTTAGGTCCTCCCATGGGTATTTTGATTGTGTATTATGTAATTGAAAAGAAACATGACCCCACTTTTGATAGCGGATCAGATTTGTTTGCCACGATTGCATATGGAGCATTTTGACATGTTCAATCTCATTACCCATTAGGATACCTCAACGCAAACACTCAAGAGTTGGTATTTTTCCTGCATACGTCCTCTACTTTTCGGGCATGGCCCATACCGGAAAGTTTGTTTTCTCCCTTTCCAGCCTAAGAATGGGCCATGCCCGAACATTTGTTGAAAGGTTGATAGCGTATGCAGCAAAGAGACCATATTTTGATTGTTTGTGTTCAGGTATCCTAATTTGTAATGTGTAAACGGCTGTACCCCGGTCTGTGAGTGATTAGAAAAATGCACAATCTCATCACAAACTACTTCACCTTGGATTGTTAGCGGATTCTCCGTTGGGTTCGAGGGATTGGGTGGACTGGATGAGATCTCCGCTGTGTTTGAGGGGCTCGATGGACTAGGCCAGATCCCACCAACACTTCCACTGACGTAAAGCCACCAGCCCCAGCCAAAATGGAATTGTTCGTTTACTGCGCTGATGTAAACATCGTACGCATCTCCCGGACAGAGGCGACTCAAAATCACAGGCAGACTGCTGCTCTCATTCACATCTTAACAGGGCAGAAAACAAAGCACATGACAAAGAGCATGGAGTGAGCATGATATCATACAAAATCACCTCGTAAGGTTGGCTCAATGCTGTTGGCTCCAAGCTCTCAAACATATCTTGCCCAGCTCGTAGAATTGTTTCAAGCCGAACGAAGCGCAGCGGAAGACAGGAAGAAGGTTTAAGGTTCGCATAGACCTGTTGACTCAACAAGTACAATCTTTGACGCTGATGATCACCAATGCTTTGCATTCGGTTGAGTCAACATCAACTAGCTCGGCCGCCATTGCCAGTGCAGGCGCGGAGAAGAAACGTAAGCGCACAGCAGCACAGCAGAGTGGAAGCAACAACAGAAAAGACCGTACGACCTCTAGTACGTTGGCGTCGGTTGAAACCCCGCTTGGTTCAATCGGCGACTTTCAAAAGGATTCAAAATTAATAGTGATTCCCACGACACCCAGCATGGTCAGGTCACGGCTGGCGATGCAAGTGATGCGCTTACCCGTCTTCAAAAGTATAAGGATTTGCCCGAGTATAGTGATTGTAATTTTGCACAGTGGAAGGTCGTCACATCAAAAAAAAAACAGAGAGAATGAGTGTCCTGTTCATAGGAGATTTAAAGAAGGATATGTCAGCGGAGCAGCTGGAAAACTTCGTTGTGAACAGAGCGGATAGTGCTGGTGTTGCTGTTCATGTCTACAGTTCCAAGTGTTTTCAAAGGCAGACTCGTCATCTGCACGGATTGATATACACTCTAGCACCAGAGGGTTTGTTCAGCACCGACAATTCTGGCCCAAGCCAGTGTACGCCAGGCAGTGGAAGTTTGAGGACACCAAGAAGCCCCAACATGAATCCAATGATCCCTCCAATTCTGTCGCCAGCGAGTCTGTTGGGCATGGACAGGCTATGGACTGAATCATCACCTATGGATGTGTCAGCAGCAATTGTGTTTCT